AGACAAACAAATAACTTGGTAGAGAGAAGATGTTTGGGCTTCAAGTAAATAAATTTATTAAGAAAGATTGGATCCGTCTACTTATTTCTACTAATTATTATTAATTACTTCTAATTTTAGGGGCAACTACGATTTAAATTCTTTTATTAAAGTTAGAATAAAGGAATTTGTTGTAGAAATAAATGAAAGGAAAACAATTAATTCTGAGAAAATACAAAGGGCGGGGCTCGGTGATGGTCAGTGTGAGTGGGGTAGCTTATGGTAAAAGCACCATAACTCTACTCCCAACCCAGGGGGGATTTAATTAAGTTGTCATGCACTACAACTTACATAGTCATTACATCAAGGCCTTTCCTTGCCACGCCCAGGCAAAACCTGCACAGCCCTCCACAGACAACCTATCCCTAGGGCAGCACCCAGCAGACTGAAGCACACATAGCTAGTTCAAATTCCATGCACGTGGGGTTAACAATAGCAATTATGCAAATAAGATGCTGCATGCCTGGCTGGACTGATACACACTCAGCTCAGGGGGTGTGATGGATGAGAAGGGCAGGCTAAACCAAAAATAGAAGGTGGGGAGGAAGGTAATGATGAAGGGCTATTTTCATTACAATATATATGAGCGAAACAATCTCGTTATAATACATTTTAATGGAAAATACATAGGCCTACATTGTACACGGAAAAGAGAGATCACATTCTTGGATTTAATTTAAAGAAATTCTCTTTCTCCATCGATGTTTGCGTTTGGTATTTTATATGATCCAAATTCATCCCGCCAAGCAATGTATTATGTAGGTCATAGCAAGGTTGTAGTCACTGGTTCAGGTCCTAACATCATAGCTTTGATTCTGCAGTGGGAATCAGTGAATGGCGATGGCACTGCGCACTGCACTGCCATGCTACCGGTATGCCGCACTGAACATCGTATACGGGTACAGGTAGAGCGGCAAGGCTTCAGTGAACTTTGATCACAAATGCACCAGAAATATAGGCTTTTTCATCAACATTTAGTATGCCAAGATGACAGAATGGCTTTTGTAAACAGTGTGTAATTCCAGCATATCGGGCTGATACGCGCGTTTGTACACAGGGAGAACATCTTGGGGTTTTTTTTTTCTGAAGAAAAAGGGGGTGGGGGCGGGCACCCCCACGCTCCCCTGGAATTGCCCCTGGGACACTCCATTAGGCCCCCAAAAAAAAGTCTCCGGTTTCTGGTATGCGCGCGCGTCGCCGTAGCCATGCGCGTCAGCAAAATGAAAAAGTTTTTTTTTCAATGAAAGATGATGTCTCAAAACCGCCAAACTCACTGGTTTGACTGGAATCCTGCTGCTGCACAATTTTAACGTGTTTTTAGATGGGGTTATGATCGAGAATAAGCTTTATTTGGCCTCTCTGGACTCCCATATATTTTCACTCAGTTTAGTCGGGCACCATTTGCATTCATCAGCTGACATTTGAAGCAAAAAAGTCAGGTAAAAAAAAAAAAAGCCGCGTCACCGCACCACTTTTTGGACAAGCTCCATACCAGAAACCGGAGACTTTTTGTTTTTGGCCTTATCTAGCTTCAGGGGTGTTTTGAAAAACAGAAAGTAAAATTTTATTTTTTTGACTTATTTTGACTTTTGGACTGAAAAGTTTAGATGTTTTGACCGAAAAGGTATTTATGAATGGGAATAAATATGTGCTTGGTCAATATAAACAATATATTTAAGAATGGTTGGAGTCTGGAATGCTGATGATTGCTTCGCCTTGGGTAATTATCAGCATTCCAGACCCTGAAACATAGTGTTTAACACCTCCAAAGCACATATTTATTCCCTTATATATAATTCCTGAGACTTTCAAAGAAGGTAAGTGAGATGATTCTATGACCAGAAACCAACTGACTATTGTTTGAATTGATGCACTTTTAAGTTTGCACACAACGGCCACAAGCCTGCAAGTGTATAGCATAGCTGCCAACATTTCAGAATCCCAATTAGTAATCAACCCGCGCGGTCATTTTCAACTGCTCGTTTTATCAAAAGCTTTACCAACATCGAGTACAGGTACATGGTTTACATGTACACATACATGTGCATACCCTTCTTCTTGTGAATAATAATGTAATGTAGGCCAAAAGATAATTAAAAAAAAAAAAATTAATTTTTTTTTTTTTTTTATTATTTTTTTTTTATGTCTGTATTTGTTTGTTGGAGTCAAATAAATAATAACAATAATAAAATATGCGCATATTTTTTTGGAGATGCATGCTATTGATGTGGAGTTTCGAGTTCGTATCAATGTTTTTACACACAATGATTTAGGGCCACCGTCATGACCGTATGCAATAGAAATATCCCGCCAACATACCTTGCAAACGCATGCTGATTTATCTTTTCTGGATGTTGTGACAAACTCAAACTGTAATACCAATTATTCCAACCATACTCTTATTAAATTCCATGATTAAATTGTCGCACTGATGGGTCTCAACCCGGCAAAAAGCGACCAAATGTGCTCACGATCGTCACTGAAAAGTACTCACATACAGTACACACAACCACACATCCACGAGATGCACACAAATGACACACCATTGAAAAATAGTTTTAGTCTGGTCCTCAAGTACTCCACTGCGCACACTGCATTGATGTCTATCAGGTGCTTGACTGCATTCTTATTAGACTTGTCACCAGTCCATCCATTATCGCGACATTTCGCCAGAAGTTTTCGGTCAAAAACGATAATTTACAAGTATTTTTTTTTCCATTAGGTAGAAAATGGGAAATTCGTAATGTTTTAGTGGCAAATCGTATTTTCGTAATTTAACAAACAATCTATATATATAAGAGAGAGTTTAACTCGGCCTCCGAGACGATGTTTGCTCATGAAAGGATCCGAGACCGCGGGCTCCCGCGGCGCCAAAATCGCTCCACGTCCGTGGAAAAATACGGAGGGTGTCTTCCGCCGGGTCGGACACTTCGGATCGTCCTGATTTCCCGTACGGACCGGCGATCCTTTTCGTCTATTTCTCATGACTGCATTTTGCACAGGAATTTTCCGTCGTGTGCGCTTTCACGTTGACTGCCTGGCCGCCCCCTGTGCTGGCTTTTCTGCGAGTCTAGACTGTGCGAGGTCAGCGAGGTCAACGTAGGGGTTTCGTTTACGTGTTCTACTCAGCCGTTCTGCAAAAGCGTTCATCAAATTGTAGATGGGGTGACCTTGGTAAAATATTTTTTCTCCATGGTGCGTGGCCACCGAGTGCCCCTATTCTTTCATATGCTTCGCTTGCCGCCCCTGCGCCGAGTGCAACGAATACTCAGAAGGACTACACAATAAGTATGCCTTGCGCGGTCTGACCAATCGAAAGTCTACACTGCGTAGTATTTCCGGGCTATGCAAAACTGTCGATGGCAACGCGTACTGCAGCCTGCTCCACACCCTGGAAACGAGGTTGGGTCTACGGTGCTCGCTATTTGAAGCGCAAGCATGTGACGTGATAGAGTGCTGTTGCTTCCATAATGTGTTTACAGCTCCATGCTTCCACCACCAAGGCTGAGCGTTGTGAGTTCGCTGCCCGCCACGTATAATCATGGAGGAATAAGAATTCCTCCATGGTATAATTCAGTGTCGTGTTATAATTTCGGGGGCCTGTTTTGGGTCAACGAAGGATCGCCGCGGTCTCGGATCCTTTCAGAAGCAAACATTTCTCGGAGGCCGAGTAAAACTTGCTCTTATATATAGATGGTTGAACCAACTTGAATAAAAGTTGAATCGCAGACGGTCTCGCAAATTGTAAGAAGTTCAAGTTTACGTTTGTTGAAGAGTCCAATACTGAAACTTAATTATGACCTTCCTCCATGATTCAGACCGTTTGTAATTTTTTGGTAACACTCAACATTTTCATTTTAAATGACACCTTCACGTTTTATTGCATTATGATTTATTGTCAAACTGTACAACCAGCCTTCGCCTGTGTACTACAGTAACCTTTTCACTACGTTTTCCAAATGCGACTGCCTCACAAAAAGCCAATTTAACAGACCAACGGCAACATTTACAGACAGTTGCCATGGTACATAATTATCATGTGCGTAAATCGACGGGGGACAGGGGACCCCCCCCCCCCCCACACACACACACACACATTTTGAGGGGGGACAATGTTTGGTCTCCCCCCCCCCCACTTTTTCTTCCCCGAATAAAAATGTTGTAGCCTACAATAATGATTCTATTGCTCAGAATACATGTACAGTAGCTGATTCAATTACTCAAAACTCAAAACTTTCACAGATGATCTTTCGCTCAAATTGGTTTTAGTGATCAGAAATTGCCTCAGATCACACCACAGAAATTGCTATTCTTTAACTGCATGTCTCACCAACTATATCCCCCATTTACATTTAACTCCCCACATTTTCATCCCCAACACTACGCCCTACCCGATCTATGATCGGGTAAACCAGCTTGTTCGTAATAATTACGAAAAATTAGTAACAGTTGGCAGCTATGGTATAGATTAGCAACAACCTGGGCCCAATTTCACAGTGCTGCTTAACAGCTGATTTTGTGCTTACCGAGCCCCCATCTATTTCATCTAGACTGTAAGCAGTAAGCACAGCAAAAGCATGCTTGACAAAGAGGGAAAGGTGCTTAAATCAGCCGGGTAACAATAGAAATCTCCATGCGCATACAGCCATGTGCACCTCCACGCCTTTAGGTAGTACTTAGGCAGCAGCATGATATTCTACTTGGCACAGCTTTTTGGATGAACTGTTACGACATGCTACGAAATTGGGCCCAGGAATTTACATGTAGATGGTATGCTTAGTATGTTTAACATAAACAAATAAAGCCAAAACTTGTACAAAGATGAAGGTAACATGTAATGCAGATAGAATCATGGAATTATTCATATCAATGTTATGTGACACAAATTGTTGGAGGTATATTCTGACCAGGTGATTTACATGTAAGGTTTAAGTTCTTGAAAGTGTAACAGGAATACATACTGTTTTTGTGGCATGTTGACTTGCAAAAGGCTGTTCAAGGTTTCCCCTCAATGTCTCCGACAGAAGAAATGGTGCATACACAAGAAGACAACGATCTGGTACCTGTAAATATTGAAATTCATAAAGTTAGCATGTGTATGAAACAGAAACATGGAAAGGTGATACAAAAAGTGTGGAAAATAATGCCATGGGATAATGAGGGAAAAGGACCAATAGGGACTATTTTTCACAGCCTCCGCAATTTTCCAACCTCTGGGGGGGAAAAAAGAAGAGTTGTTGCCCCAGCTGTACATGTTGATTCGCAATAAGCATTGGAGCTGGGGTTTCCCAAGCTGGGTAAGCGTACATAGCAGTGATCGCCGTCTTTATTTTTGTGTTGCCTTTTGTCGTTGTCATCATCAATTTACTCCTAAATTTCCCTCAAAAATTTAAAAACCTGCACTCTATCAATGACATACCTGCATGTTCTTAATGTTGCCAACTAGTTTTGCAAGTCAAATAAATTAAAAGTGGATTTGGTTCTCTTATAGGGAACCGGGCCCGTAACTAAATGATCGTCAAACCTATGGGCGTATTTATACTAGCTTGAGAAACTCCAGTTCCAATACTCCAGTTCCAACACTTATCAGGAATTTGACATTTAGAGCTGGAGATCAAAGCCACCAGTCAAAAAAATAAGGGTGGAGACTGTGAAAAAAAATGGCCTCTGAAAAGCCACCTAAATCATCAATTTAAAAAAACAATTTTGTCGGTATTTTTCTCTTGCAAGTTGACCATTTGCTTTGTTAATGATTGCTGCATGGTATTGAGTATGCCCTATTAAAGTTTAGTCTCATCTGCATTTGGCTAATTCGCCCATTAATTGTTTCCAAACCCCTCCCCCAGGCTGCCCCACCCAAGATGTGGGGATTGTCACTTTTGAAATGACAAAATCCCCATCCCTCAGGCAAATTTGGCCTCCACTTGAAAATAGTCTTTTAAAAACGCCTTTTTTCAACCGCTGGCTACAAAGTTGATTGACCTCCAGCTCTAAATGTCAAATTCTCAATAGGCATTGGAGTTTCTTAAGCTAGTAATATACATCATTGCATGATGTTGTTAGACCCCTTACGTTTACGGCTCGATCATAGGTACAGTAGACCTAATGATGTACGGTAAAACTAGCTTGAGAAACTCCAGCTCCAATGCTTATCAGGATTTGATATTCAGAGCTGGAGGGAAAACTATGTTGTCCTAGCACATAATAATAACTAGAGCTATGTCTGTTCGATGAACAGAAAATAGGGCTTTTCCGTATTTCTTTTTTGTGTGTCCATATGCAAAAGCATACATGTACCATAGTTAGGGAACTAACTTCTCCACAGGACTTTAAAATATACAACTTTTAACATGATCGACGTCACATGTCCCACTATGACGTCATCGTAACATCACTTGTCAATGCACATGTTTTGTAGTCTTGATGTGCACCAAGTTTGACATCAATCCCATGAAAGAAAGTGTAAAATTTTGTAAGCGGAATAAAATCTTAAATATTAAGAAAATAATAGAATATCAACTGATGACATCATGGTGACAACATTTCAAATTTTGCATACTTGTGACATTTTCTACCTATCCACAAAGTTTCATGACAAGGGGAACTTCTGTTATGCATGCGTTTGGGAAACTTGCATTTTTGATGATGTCATCGTGACGTCACACATTTTTTTTTAAATTGTGCATATACCTAAATTACCTGACAAACCAACTTCAAAAGGATTTTTAAATTTTACATGTTGCGTTGGTGAGATACAGCTTAAAGGTCCAAACATTCAAAAATTCATATAAAATCACATGATTACGTCAGCATGACGTCATCTCAATTTTTACCCATAACACAACCCGGTCTAACTATATACCAAGTTTCAACCCAATCAGATTTACTGTTCTGTAGATATAAGACTTCAAAATATGCACATTTTTGATGACGTCACGTGTCCCATGATGACTTCATCGTAACAACACCTGTCAATGCAAATATTTCTATTGTGGTCTTGATGTGCACCAAGTTTGACATTAATCCAATGAAACAAAGTGTACAATTTTGTAAATGTAATAAAAATTTTAATATTTAAAAAAATCATAAAAAATCAACCAATTACGTCATGGTGACGTCATTTCAGATTTTGCATACTTGTGAGACCATCTACCTATTCACAAAGTTTTATGACGATTGGGCCTTTCCTATGTGTTTTGAAAAATGGCATTTTTGAAGACGTCATCGTGACGTCTCACTTTTTTCTAAATTTTTGGCATACACATATTACCTAACATACATAATACAAAAAGGAACTTGCAATTTTGCATTTTGCGTTCATGAGATTGGCTTAAAGATCAAAAAATTCAAAAAATTATATTAAATTGCACGATGTCGTCATCGTGATGTCACCTCAATATTTACCTATAACACATCCCGGTCTATCAACACTTGTCAGTGCACATGTTTCATTGTGGTCTTGATGTGCACCAAGTTTGAAGTCAATCCCATGAAAGAAAGTGTAAAATTTTGTTAGAGTAATACAAATTTCAATATTTAAAAAATCATAAAAAATCAACCAATGACGTCATGGTGACGTCATTTCAGATTTTGCATACTTATGACACCATCTACCTATCCACCAAGTTTCATGACGATTGGGCCTTCCCTTATATGTGTTTTCAAAAATGGCATTTTTTATGACGTCATCATGACATCACACTTTTTTCTAAATGTTGGGCAAACACATGTTACCTATAAAGAAACATAATAAAAAAAAGCATTTTCAATTTTACATGTTGCGTTCGTGAGATATGGCTTAAAGCTAAAAAAAAATTTGAAATTATATATTAAATCGCACGATGACGTCATCGTGACATCACCTCAATTTTTACCTATAACACATCCCGGTCTACCAACATACCGAGTTTCAACCCAATCGGACTTACAGTTCTGTTGATATAGACCTTCAAAATATGCACGTTTGTAAGGACGTCACGTGACCCACGATGATGTAATCATGACGTCACTCTTCGAGACACAACTTCACTATAGGGTCTTTACCTGAGATAAGTTTCATTGGAATAGGACTTTGTTTTAGGTCAAAAGTGGGTCACAACAAAAACGTGTACAAAGTCAATGGGATCTGGGGTGGACCCAAAAAGATCAAAAAGAAGAAAAAACTAGAGGTATGTCTGTTCAAGAACAGAACATATGGCTTTTCCGTATAATAATTTTTTTTCATGAGTTTATATCAGACTTGTATTCGAGTCACGAAACATCGAGTCCAAGTCCGAGTCCCGAGTCCTCCAGGTCGAGTCCGAGTCACGAGTCACAAAGGTTGAGTCCAAGTCCGAGTCATGAGTCACCTCTAACATTGTATTGGAAAAACGTACATTTTAGGGAATTCAGAGATTCAGAGTCACCTTTGATATAGGCCTACATGTACGTCAGCCACGACATAACACGGTACGAGGCAAGGGAAAACCTAGGCTACTTGTTAGGATGCACGTATGTGAAAGGTGGCGATTGAAGTTTGACGTAGTGCCGGGTTTCTCCTCTATTTTCCTCTTGCAGAAGTTGCATTCTGCACTTGATCTTCCATTGGCATTTCTCTTGAAGTTAAGATACCCAAAATTGACAATTTTTGGAGTGGATGCCATCATAATCTACGTTGCAACTTGCATGTAACGTTACCGAAACGGGCAGATCAGCAGACTATTCATATCGCGTTATCACGATGCGAAAGCAATACACGTGTGAACGACAGGACGTCTGACAAGAAAAGTCTGGTACCTTACGTTATCAATCTTGCACCAATGCAGTATTACGTGCGGACGGCAGGGTACAGGTTTCGGTACATTGATTTCTTTAATCAATATATGGGTAACCGGCCACGGCCACGCACGCACCGCATCAGCGCCCTGTACATGTATTGCACAGTAAAGAAAACGATCGACTTACGTATGTGCGCGTGTGCAGTGCGGTATTTTCCATCGAGTCACAAGTCAGTTCGAGTCCAAGTCCGTGTTTGAGCCCCGAGTCCGAGTCATAAGTCAAAGTGAATCGAGTCTGAGTCCGAGTCATTAAAAATGTGACTTGAGTCGGACTCAAGTCTGAGTCCGAGTCACGAGTCATACAAGTCTGGTTTATATAACTGTTTATGTAAATTATGTAAATTATTTTCTAAAATTTAAAATTAATTTGACTCACAAAGTTGAAAGTGCATTTTATGTCATATTTTGCTGAATTTTGAATTGAGTATTGAAGTTTCAATATGTGATGTTCCCGGTTACCTAAAGGAATTCACTTCGTCGATAAACCAAATTGAATGCAATGCAAAATGGTTAGCCTTTAAATGAGACTAATCATCTGAGCACGTACTCAATCGATTAAATATGATTGTGTGAAGTTTCAATCACACAAGTTATTGTAATTATTATTTTGTTAAACAAACACACTTTTTGCAACAGCTTTGACAATTGTAATTACAAGGCTTGAAATAAGACTAGCTGTCACAAAATTCAATCGTGACACAACCAAATTGCATGCATGCGAATTGGCCGTATGCTCTCAATTGAGTTAGAATTCATCACGGCATCAGCCTTGAACACAGACTATATCACCATACCCGTGACCCGACCCAATTGTTTGCAACATTTACGTGTATAAAGCATGCAAGGCAGATCATTATGCGCGCATTGAAAACTTTCACGCGTCATATACGTATGTACTTAACAGTCAGATCACTTTCACCCACACAACATGTACACATACATTCGAAACGCACATATGGCATATGTACGGGGCACGGGAAAATGCAGAGAATACTGCTTTACGTTGACAAATGACCCGCGCAATTATTGTACGCACAACCGGTACATGTATATCATATCATTTGTACATACGTTCCAAAACACTGCTTCGTATCAAAGTCTATGTGGCTTGGAAAACTATACAAATTACAACACAAATCTGATTATAATGCCACCCGAATGCAACTTTGTTTTAGAAAATGAAAATATGTTAATGTTGTCTTGGTCTGCAACAAATTTGGGTCGATCAGATCAAAAACAGTGTTAAA